GATAAAATGTACATAGTATAAATTATCAGAATGATAATAACTACTTAAACTGCTACTCTTAAACATATTTGATTGATAGATAAGGAAACAGAACCCAATCAACAACATCATATGGACAGATTGTGATAGGAGATAGGTAGAGATATATACTCTGACTCTGAAAAAGGCTTCAATCAAAACAGTTTACACAGGATTAGCAATAATCTTCAACTATAGAGTTACAAGGTCTAAGATTTACACATCAATCAAGTTACAGTTAAACCCATTTATTCATAAGAAATACCATATACGTCATCATTAAGGAAAGATCCAAGAAGTTAAAATGGCTGCATTTCTGCAAGTATTTCATGACAGTAACCTAAATATCTTTGCTTAAAGGATATAATAATTAGACGCGGAACTTAAATTAATAAGTTTCACATATCTTCCAGTGAGTAGCAAATCGTTGAAATATCAATAACCTGGATCAGCTTGAACCGTGAAAATCAAAATACATGCTATTCTTCTAATGATTCATTGCTTTTCCCGCACTCAACATCAGTCTTAGCTTCAGCTCCAAAAAAGAATAAAAAAGGCATAATCTTAGCTTTTTCTTTATGGCTCTTTTCCTTTACTCTCCTTTATTTTCAGCAAATTCTAAAACATATCTAATATTGCCAAGCCCCTTATTTTGACTTTAGATTAGACATAGAATTGTGCAAACAGACATAATCACGTCCAATTGATATAATGAAGTTACTCCCTGAGGGAAGAAGTAAGAATTCACAACTAAAAGGTTGAAAAGAAAGAACAAATGAATGAAACATACAAAGACATGGAATATAGTCACCAAAAGGTTATAGTGCAAGAAGCCTAACCCGATCAAGACCTGCAGGAAGAGGATCAACGACCATAGTTGGGATCTCATCCATCAAGTTGTCAGGATTTCCTGAATGCAAAATTCTGGTAAAACCTCCCATCTCCGATCCAGGCAAGTCCTTATTCTTCTTATACCAATAGTACATAATGCGACACTGCCATTTGCTGTAAGGAGCATCGGTGGCTGTTAAGGCAACATGGAATGGTGACTTGGAATTCTTGAATTTCTTCACATTCTTAGGCATCCCAATAATGGGGTCAGACAGTAACCCACCATGCGAATTATCACCTACCCACTTCCCAACAGATCTATAGTGGATTATCATAGTTAAAAAATTATAAGTGGCAAAGAAAAACCCAAGAGCCAAAAGAACCAGAAGTAATGGTGAAGCTCGTCCCATGTTCTTCCTCCCAATCATTGTTTATTACAAATGGATAAAAATCTCAGCTTTCCCAAATGAATAACACAGTAATTTTCCTATTCCATCACAGCATAGAATGAGAATTTTCAAATTCAGCTGTTCAGAACATAATTTAGCAGCAGCATTAAACCCTTCTTTTATCTTGTACAACTTCCGAAAAAGTTTCTGGAGATACCTACATTAAGCAACTCCAAATAATTAGCCCAAAAGAATTGATATGATGACCAAATTAAGGCCACTGGTTCACAAGAGATCACCAGTAAATAGAATTTTTTTAAAAAATTATGCAAGAACTTTTCAATGAATTTGACCCAAACACTTTTATGAATTGAAATAACCCACTCTACCAAACCCATTCCAATTAATAATTCATAGGTTGTTTACGTGATAGAGTAGCAATCAGTGTTTAACAGCTGTTATCATAGAATTTCAAGAGAACTTTCAGGAGATAACCCACAAATTCTGAGCACTAATGAGCAGTTTATATCAAATTGAGGACAACATATCAATCTTAAGATTACTAAAGTATGGAAATGGGGACCACTTTGGATCAAATTTTAAACAAGTATGATGACAAATGCCATTAAGAATAAGTGAACCAGTAAACTCATATAATCAATTTCAAATTCCTCTGCTTTCCACTAATTCGGACTCCGGAGTATCTTTAACCCACAACGTCCTTAAGAAAAGGAGGGTGGGAAAAGCAGCATCCACAATTCAAGACATACAAACAAAAATTCAAGGGGAACTCAGTTGTCACCCTTCCAAATGCTCTCTACACCTGCTCATTTGGGGGGCTGTCAATAGAATTCCCAAAATTTAACTCTTGCATGCCAATGTGAATTGGATGCCATTACGCTTATCATAAGCATATAGATCAGACACACTCAAAGCTTCAAATTTTTTCAAACTTTTCCAAATTCATATTATAAGAACAGTTAACATACTCTAATCAGTAAAACCAGAACATAAGAATTTAGATATTCAATGTACAAAGAACTGAGAAACCAACTACAAGTTCATACCTTTAGAAACCAACCCAGAACCCAGAAAAAACCCAAAAGCAAAATGAAAGATTAAAGGAAGTAAGAAAATGTAGAAGTCGTCTCAGTTATTAAGGTATAAAGCTCAAACAATATGGGTTTTGGAGATCAGATACATACAGACATACAGAGAGAGAGAGAGAGAGAGAGAGAGAGAGAGAGGGGACCTTGACCTGCGCGCAGGGGGGGAAGGATAGAGATTGGAAAACGGGTATTCGGATCAGAGAAATAATAAAGTAAGGATTTTGTCGATTTGACAAAAGTGCGGGTTATGGAGATTCCGACTCCTCCTTGTCTGTCTTTTTCGGTTGGTGTTTGAGCAACCTTTTTATAACATCATGTCAAACTATTATTGGATTAATTTTCAAGTCCTAGGGTTTAAAAAAAATAATTATTACATAGATTATAGTATACACCAATGTGTCCAATGCTAAATTATTTTTTTCTTTTCTTTTTGGTCGGACGTCAAATGCTTTGATGTAAAGCATCTCTTCCCAAAAAAAAATTACAAATTTATAAATAAACCCAATCCTAGACATGTATTTATAAAAAAACCCAAGCACTATTTAAACATAGAAACACACCCAAAATCAACCCCAAAGTCAACTTTTTGGGTGTGTTTATAAATGGGTTTTGAGTGTGTGTAATGATGAGTTTTGGGTGTGTTTATATGTTTAAATAGTGCTTGGATTTTTTTATAATTTCAACCCCCATTTTGGGTGTTTTAGTGAAACTCCCAAAAAAAATTAAATAAAAAATGCTAATTGATGTAAGAAAATCATTAGAACACATTTCTGTCAGAAGATAAAAATAAAAAATAAAAAAATACAATAATCAGTCCTACTTACCTTTTTTCTTTCTTTTCTTTTTTTGTCTTATTGGCAGGTTCTTGTTTCCTTGCTTTTGTTTTACAGTTTATTCCTATGACATCAATCTATTTGACATTTAAAAGGAAATCAACAGAAAATCTCGAAATCGAGGAATTGCATACCCAAACTCGGTTTATTCCTATGACGGATCGACAATTGTGATAATGAAAACAAAAATATGGAATAAGGAGAAGTCTAAAAGTTTGCACAAATAGAACATAATGTACATAATGTGGTAGGGTTAGTTCAAAACTATGGAATCAATCAGTAAGTATTATACGGTTCGCATTCAAAAATACAGTAAGATCAAATGCAATAAACTGGTTTGGTTCGATTTGGTTTTAATAAAAATTATTTCAGGCAATTTAGGTCCAAGTTAATATGTTTTTCTTTTACATTTTTCAACTTTGTTAGCCCAATTACAACTAAAATGTCCATAACATGCCATACATTTTTCATTTAACACATTAAAATCTAATATGCCATCAAATTTTCAAAGTTGACTACAACCCAAAAATCAATAACTTCAAATTTCATCAAACCATGGTTGATTCAGTTTCGGCCTATTTACAAAAGCGCAACTGCAGATGGGCATAACAACGTGGGAGGGTTCAGTGTTGACCATGTTGGTGCGAAGAATCGTTGGTCACATGTCGACCCGATATGAGGCATGACAAAACAATTTTGTCCACCATTTGCAGTTGGGTTGCAGTTGGTTTCCTCCACATCGATGAGCAGGAGGAGATCTTTGACATTGGGTGCAAATCTACGATGATAGGTAGGAGATCTACAACGATGGCGAATATCTACACCGATTTTTAAGAGATGTTTGAAGATGGCGAACGATGAGGATTTCTCCTACAATGGCAAAGACATTGACAAAGACTGAAGGAATTCCCACAATATCCTTTGAGTGTGATGTGGGTGGAGTCTAAGTGATTGCTAATTGTAGAAACTGATTTTCACTTAATCATTCACAAGACCATTATACAAGATATATATACAAATCTATATAGAACAACCCACAGTTACAATAAGCCATTATCATAAACATAAATATGGAGTTATGGCCTAATAACAATGTAATTGATAACTGACCATTTTCTATCATTAGTATGATTAACTATTGTAACTGAAATACTATTCTAACTCCCTAATACTCCCCCAAAAACTTGACATTGCTGAGGAGACAAGTTTGGAAATATGTCGGGCAAAACGATCTGTAGGCAATCCTTTAGTGAAGACATCTACAAGTTAATAAGTAAAAGGTATGAAACGAACCCGTTGACTTCCTGAGGCAACACATTCCCAACAAAGTGATAATTGATAGCTATGTGTTTGGTCTGGGCATGAAACACCGGATTGGCCACAAGATATGTGGTTGAAAGATTATCATAATTAAGAATAACAAGATGTGGAATAGGATGCCAAAGTTCATGTAATAGACCTAGAATCCATATAGTGTCTGCATAAGCATAAGCTAAGGCGCGATACTCAGCTTTGACGCTTGAAAAAGAAATTGTGAATTATTTCTTTGCACTCTAGGAAATTAGGTTTGGTCATAAAAAGACACAGTATCCAGTGGTGGACCGACGAGTATCCGGGCTAGCTGCCTAATCGGCATTCGAATAGGCAACAAGGAATGAGGAGTCCGTAGAATGATGAATAGGAAGGCCAATATCGAGGGTGCTTTTGAGATAACGCATAATGCGTTTCACTACTTCATGATGAACATCAGTGGGGGAACCAAAAAACTGGAAAACATGTTATACGACATAGAAAATGTTAAGAAGAGTCATGGTTAGGTACTATAGAACACCGAAAAGTTGTCTATACACAGTGGGTTCGGGCAAAGCCGTGCCATTAGTGCGAGAAAGGTTGCCTTTAGAAGCCATTAGTGTAAAGATCGGTTTACAATCCTGCATATTGCTTCTTTTGAGAATATCAAGGGCATATTTGGTTGGATTGAGATGAACAGAATCAGAGTGATAGGTGACTACGATGCCAAGGGAATAATGTAACTTGCCAAGGTCTTTAACGTCAAATTCGGCACCCAACATATCAATAAAGGCATGTAAATGTGACTGACTGCTCCCCGTGAGTATGATGTTGTCAACGTAGACAAGTAAAATCATATTATGAGATTGATCCTGATAAACAAACATATAATCATCAGAGTGACTTTGAGTAAAACCAACATGGAGCAAGAATGAACTAAAACATTGGAACCAAGCGTGTGGTGTTTGTTTAAGGCCGTAGATAGCCTTGTGAAGTTTGTAGACATGTTGAGGCCGGCTAGGATCCATAAACCCATAGGGTTGCTACATATAGACCTCTTTAGATAGAGGGCCAAAGAGGAAGGTGTTCTTGACGTTGAGCTGTTGAATAGGCCACCTAGAACAACTGTAATACTGAGCACATTTCGAATTGTTGTGGGTTTAAAAACCAAGCTAAACGTATCAAAATAGTCTACCCTATATTGTTGATGAAAACCTTTAGCCACAAGTCGAGCTTTGTAACACTCGACAGTATCATCGGATCGCCGTTTTACCTTGAATACCCATTTTCACCCAACAATGTTATGTGTGGAAGAAGGAGGAACCAAGGACCAGATGCCCTATTTGATAAGGGCGTTGAATTCACCGTGCATGGCTTGTCTCCACTCAAAAGATAAAGCAGCTTATGTGAAACAGGTGGGTTCAACATCGGTGTCGAGTAAAGTAGCCAGAGTATGTGGTAGGGGTATCGGATAGAGATTGATTTTCACTTAATCATGTACTCCCTAATACTAATCATAGACTTTTATGTTTGTGCAAATATTTTCACGAGAGAATATTCGTTTGAAGATCCTTCATCTCTAGAACTTCCTTATCTTTCTTCCTCAATTCTTATGAAAAAGATCGGAGTAAATAGACCACACCTGGGGGTGTTGGCCAAAAGGCCTCCGATGCTTAAGATAGTTCAATTGAATCTAAGTGAAACAATAGCTAAAAAAGGATACGAAGTCTTCTCTAGGGTGAGAACCGGGTGGCCGTAGCCATGTGTGGTGGTCGGAGCCGTGTATGAAAATATGGAAAGATTAGGGAGGCGTGGCCTGGGGCAATGGTAGTGTCGTTGGCTAAGAGAGAGAGAGAGAGAGAGAGAGAGAGAGAGAGAGTAGAGTAGAGAATTTTGGGTATTTTAGAGCTAGGTTTCGGATTGAGATTCAGATTACCTTGTGTTTTGAATGAAGCCATGTATTTATAGTGCTCTATGCATTTAGGGTTTTTCAAAGAATAATTCCTATTTAGAAGGGTTTATTCTGTCCCCAAATTGTAGATATTGAGTCCATTATGGATTTTATTATGTCCCCATAGAAGGCACAATATCTTCTAGCATCCCTCTTATCCGGGTCTCTTTTCAAGGGTGGTGGTCTCCTTACCCAAGGCTTATCCTTCACTTGGGCTAAGATATGATGTATGGGGATGAAGAACTTGGTGTAGTTCTCTTATGCCAGAGCATTTTCTCGGTGGCGCTACTTGCGCTTGCCATTATTCATGTTATTGAACCTATCACTCTTCTGACCTACCTGTTTGGTTGTTTGATTAGCCTGCTTGGTACACTTTTTCGCGATGATTCGATAGTTATCCCAGAGTGCGTAGTGTTTTACGGTCGGGAAGACCTCTGCCAGAGTTTGGCTGAGAGTAATAGTCAGCTCTCGGTATAAGTCGTGCTCAGCTGACAAGCCTTTCTTGAAGGCATAGGACTTGATTTGGTCATTGCACCCTACAATGTTTGCCTTTCCTGCTTTGAATCTCTTAATGTAATCTCAGAGCGATTCATCAGTCTTCTTGTGCAGATTGAACATGTGGTCAGGGTTCTTCTTGATCGTTTAGTAAGAAATGTATTCTTTGGTGAAGACAAAAGCTAGCTCCTTAAAGCTGCCCCTCATAAAGTCATGACAAACACTTTGCACATCAGAGCATATTTGGCCTTGTAGAGAATCATAACACTTTTGAAGTGTTTTAGATGGCTCGCAATATCGGAATCCCCTTTGAAGTGTGTGAAAGAAGGCTTTGAAAATCGCTTTAGGGGAGTAGCCTGCTCGATTTTGGCAGTGAATGGTGCGGAGTTTGCTTGGTCCACCTCCCTGCACAGAGCATCTTTGAAATCTCCTCCAATCTTCAGGTCTTGAGGTCGGTTATTCACAAGCTTCTTGACGTCTTTTGCGCCCATGGCCTGCAGATCACGCTAGTGACCTTCATGAGTTGGGCGGCATTGATTGACTTCCTTGTCGGCTCACAAGGGCCAACCTTCTCAGTTGTCCTGCCTATGTGGCGTATTGGTGGAATGCACTTGCGAGGGATTCCTTATGGCTTGTCGACGGGAATTGGTTCTTCTAGAATGGGCTGCGAAACGCCTTTCTTCACGAATCTCATTTTGAGGGTCGTTAGGTTCACCCCCCTAAGGGTCTAGCCTCTCATGAACATTTCCTTGTGGGCTTAGGCGGGAATGAATGTCAGGTCACGAGCCTAACCTTTCGGGCACATTGGTTCTTGAACTCAATCCAGATTGGAGACTTCACTTGCTTTGAGCTTGGCTCTCAAATGCTTGTGACATGCCATCATTTTGGTCACGTTCTTGTCCTTCTCCTTGTTTGCTTGCTCATGCTCGACCTACATGTGACCTCTCGAATTGCCTGCCGGTGCATTTGTCCATCCTTCTCTCTTCAACCTGCGGTCTAAGGACAAGGTTTTAGACCAAGTATATTTGGTTAAGGATTTGCCTCACCAAGTCGTTTTGGTCATCTATTCTCTAGGTCAGTTGGTCGACTAAAAGACTGAGGTCTACTTGACTTTGTGGAATGAGATGAGAGAATTGTGTGGAGCCCAATTGCACACAGGCTAGGGTTTTATTGGAACTGTACGCGTGAGCATATGTCGAGTGTGGCGACAAATGAGGGAATTAGTGAAGTTTCTCCCAGATTGGGCCAAAATTGGTGATGATGCCAAGTTGGTTGCAGGCGGCGATGTGGTGATGGAGAGCATTGAATCCTACGGCAAGGTCGAGTGGTGAAGGATTGCTCGGGCCAAGCTTGTGGGGGCACGGCAGCGAGGTCGCAACGATATCACTACGGAAGGGTGTACTAGTTTCGACCGCGGGGCCGTGCAATGGCGTGGTGGCTTTAGCAGCAAAGCCTAGTGGCTGTGGTGTTCCTTCCATTGTGAAGTCATGAGATAGCTCGGCGGTGCGTGCAAAGCTAATCATCTCGGTCACAGAACCTAAAGGAGGAGTTGTGATAGCAGCAGGGGCCGAGGTGGCAGCTGCGGCATCGTGAGGGCGAGCCATGGCTTCGGCTGCACTGCAACATGGGACTGTCTCGAAGCTGCAACATCGTGGTGGCCTGAGCCCTTCGTGGATTGTGCCATTGCGTCAGTCTTGCTCCTCTTGTGCTTGCTTTCGGCCATGGTTGTTCAAAAGGCTTGTTGAGCGAAAAATGGAGGAAACAAATTCCTTTGATTCAAGAGCACACATTGAATATAACTCGTGCTCTCAATGAAAGCACCAAATGTTTGTGCAAATATTCTTACAGGAGAATATCCGCTTGAAGATCCTTCGTGTCTAGAACTTCCTTCTCTCTCTTCCTCGATTCCTATGAAAAAGACCAGAGTAAATAGACCACACCCGAGGGGTTGACCAAAGACCCTCCAATGCCTAAGTTAGTTCAATTGAATCTAGGTGAAACAATAGCTAAAAAAGGGTATGGAATTTTCTCTAGGATAAGAATCGGGTGGCCATAACCATGTGTGGTTGTCGGAGCTGTGTATGAAAATACAGAGAGATAAGGGAGGCATGGCCAAAGGCAACGGTAGAGTGGTCGGCTAGGACAGAGAGAGTGGAGAATTTCAGGTATTTTAGAGCTAGGTTTCAAATTGAGTTTCAGATTATCTTGTGTGTTGAATGAAGCCATGTATTTATAAGGCTCTAGGCATCTAGGGTTTTTCAAAGAATAATTTCTATACGGAAGGAATTTATTCTATCCCCAAATTGTAGATATTGAGTCCATTAGGGATTTGATTGAGATTCGAACTCCTAATTTGATGATGATATCTCCAAATTAGGATAATATCATAATTGGTGATATTATCTTTTTAAATAAAGATAATATCCCCATTTTTAGTATCAATTAATTTGCCAAATAAATGAGCTCAATTAATTGACTTAGGAGATATTCTTCTTGTCCACGTAGCGCTTTGTGATTTGAAGCCGAAATATTTGTTCCCATATCCTCAACACCACAAGGAAGCCAAATGTGCCAAAAAAGAAAAAGAAAAAGAATATATATATATATATATATATATATATATATATATGCCTTCCTCTTGATTTTCCATTCAAATCTTTGAAGTTGATAAGAACCTCTCATATTAACTACCAACTATTTTTCATAGGTATCATCATTCAACCTTGTTCTTGATGGCATGACCAGATAATAATACCAAATTTCTTAATGTTCTCATATGTTTGGAGAGGTCTATTTACAACTTATTGGATTCTAGTGGGAATATGATCTGCAGATAATAATATCACAAGAAAGACTTCCATGAAAAGGGGATAAGACTTCCATGAAAAGGGGATAACACTATTTTGTTATCCCCGACCAATAATACTATAACACATGTGATAACACTTCTATGTGGCATAGCATTATTGGTTGGGGATAGCAAAGTAGTGTTATCCCCGTTGCAACTAAGTTTTTCTCCAATATCACATCAATTAATAAAAAAAGGCTATGACAATGAATGCATGCACAAAGTACTGTCAAGTTACCCTCTCCCTTTGGAATAGGATTGGTGGTGGCGGTCCTACTCTGAAATTACTTGTAGGATGACTAATAGTGCCTAAAGAGGGGTGAATAGGCCAATTGAAAATTATAATCAACAAATAAAAATAAACTTCGGTGGCATGATTGATATGACTTATCAATCCTAAAACGGGCATAACATAAAATAAAGGAACACGAAGAGAGGTAATTTACATGGTAAAATCCCACCTCTCGGGACTTCTCAGTCCAAAACAAATCCATTATAGAACGATGATTACAAGAAGTACTCACATAATTATCCTAGGCACATTCTAGATAATGTTTACCGACTTCTTCGTAACTCAACTTCTATCACGGAATGACCTTCCAACTCTCCTTATGTGGAACCTGATATTGGTCGGGATCGATTCAAACTCACCGGAGAAAAACTACCACCACGGTCTTGGTGCCCTTAATCATATGAGTCATCGAACTCTGCAAATGAATGCAATATGAATGATAAAGTGTTTGATAAATCACCAAATAAACATGGAACACTTGATGATTTATCTCAAATAAAAACGCAGCTTTCTTAAACGTTTAAGCACTCAAAATTATTGTTAAAAAGCTGTACAAGATGAAGAAGACAGCGGTCTTCTTTTATATGGTTTTTGCTCCACCAAAAAAATAAAACCACGTTAAAAAAGATGAGGGACAAATAAATTCAATCACCAAAGATTTTTGTCCTATTCTAAAGTTAAGGAACGTATAGTCCAATCAATAGGAAAATAAAAACCCAACAAAGGAAATTTATGATAATCCCACCATTAAAGAAGTCCTAATATTCTTAGGTCAACTACCGAGAATATCTCAACACCTTTAATAATGTGATCTGATTAAAACTTAATTTCCAAGTAAATTA